CTCTTAAACAAAATTTTGTATCTTTACATGGGTAGATTGAGTTTTCCAAATCTTTACACCCTGCATTCTTTTAATTATAAATTTCATCTTTAAATTTCTCTCACATTTTACATTTTACTATAAGTAGTTAAGAGAAGCCACAAAGCACCCTGAATGTTTTACTGCTTCAAGATTTCTTCTGCCAAATATCTTAGTTCATTGCTCTTAAGTTCTGCCTTCTGTGAAGTCTTAGGCCATGGACACCTTTCAAACAAGGTTTTTTGCCATCTTATGGCAGAAATGGCCTTTCTTCCAGTTTCCATGAAGATATTCCTCATTTCCACCTGAGAGCTCATCAGAACACCCTTTACTGTACATATTTCTACTGAGATACTGTTCACAACCACTTAGATAATCTTCTCTAAGACTTGGGCTCTTTCTACAATTCCTCTTTTTCTGAGTCCTCACCAGAAGTATGCTTAATGCCCCATTCATGGCAATACAGGGTTTTTACAGCATTCACTTCAAAACTCTTCCAGCTTCTACCATTACCCATTTCAAAAGCTTCTTCCACATTTTTAGGTATTTATTAGAGCAACATGATACTCCTGTTACTAATTCTGACATAGCCTGTTTTGTGCTACTATAACAGAAACTGAGATTGGATAATTCATTAAAAAGCAGATAATTTTTTTTTTTATCTTATAGTTCTGTATACTGGAAAACCCAAGATCAAGGTGCAGGCGTCTGGTGTTTGGTAAGAATCTAGTCTCCACTTCCAAGATTGTGCCTTGAATGTTGCCTGCTCCAGAGGGGAGAAACACTGTTCTTCACATGGTAGAAGAGCAGGAGACAGAGAACTCTCTCCTAACAGTCCTTTTAATAGTTGCACTAATCCATTCATGAGGGAGAATCCCTTATAGCCTGCATGCCCCACTTAAGGTCACACCTTTCATACTGTTGCATTAGAAATTACATTTCCAACGTGAATTTTGAGGGACATATTTAAATGATAGAAATTACCCATCTGTTTTATCATGTTGTCTACTTTTTCTATTAGAACACTTAGCATGTTAAACGTAGTTATCTTAAATCCTTTTTTTTTTTTTTTAGATGGAGTCTCACTCTGTTGCCTGGGCTGGAGTACAATGGCACAGTCTTGGCTCACTGCAACTTCCCTCTCTCAGCTTTAAGTGATTATCTTGACTCAGCCTCCTGAGTAGCTGGAACTACAGGAGCGTGCCACCATGCCTGGCTAATTTTTTTTTTGTTTTTTAATAGAGATGGGGTTTCACCGTGTTAGCCAGGATGGTCTTGATCTCCTGACCTCGTGATCTGTCTGCCTCAGCCTCCCAAAGTGCTGGGATTACAGGTGTGAGCCTCTGCACCTAGCCATAATCCTTTTTTTAAATATTTCAAACTGCTGTATCATATCTGAATCTTCTTCTGATGCTTACTTTGTCTCTTCAGACTGTGTGGGTTTTTTGTTTGTTTGTTTGTTTGTTTCTCTTGTTTTTAGAAGGTCTCTTAATTTTTTGTTGAAAGTTAGACATCATATGTTGTGTAATAGTGACTGAGATAAATCTGGTTTAATGTTTGGTTTTATGCTACTCTTGCTATGAATTGAACTGTGTTTAATGCTTGGTGTAGCTTTATGTGACAGAAGCTTCAAATTCTTCTCTTATTTTTCTTTTGTCTCTCTTGTCAACTTTAGACTTCTCTAATGACTCCTCTTCAGAGAGAGTCTGTGTCCTGCTTCCCTATCAGTATTATCCAGTGCCATTTGATGGAGCCCTATTCACATGTTATGAAGAACCATTTCACTTCCCCATTTCTTGCAACAGTCACTGGTGGATCTTTCTCTTTCCTTAACATGAGAACCTGGTGGGGTTCCTACACGTAAAACATATGAATGTGTGAGGAATGTACTAAGTCTGAGGCCATAGAAAATTTTCAGTTTTATACTGGTCTACATTCTACCTTCAAAAATTAACCAAAATTACTATTTAAAGGTTTCTAGTACCTTTTTCTTCAAATATGAATATTTTCTGTATTTACCTATATTTTCAAGTTAAGAGATTGGCTTGCCTGGCAACCTCAGTTCTCCAATGGGTCCAAGAACGTGTTGCTTTTCAGTGATTGTGTGTGCAGGGGTGTGTGTGTGTGTGTGTGTTGTAAGGATATGTGTGACAACTTGCAGTTTCATTCCGTGTTAGAAATACAAAGAACTTAAATATTTTTCGTACCAAACACATATATCAAGTACATTAAAGTGGATGCCTGGAGCAGGGTGTGGTGTCGTGCATAAAGAATGGAAGTGGAGAGAAGGCATATAGAGGAATAAAACAAAAGCAAATAATCTACTATAATAAAACTAGAGAGCAGTCTTGCATGAACCAATTCTATGAGAGTATGCTACAAACTGAGGAAACTGATTAACTGTACATTTGCACTCAATGACTCAGCTATACAGTGGATTAAATTAGTTACTAGGAATGGAATCCACAAATCTGTGCTTTTAAAAAATATGATCATCAGAATATTTTGAAATTACTCTATAGTTATCTGGTATTATGCTCCTTGTATCTGTTCTGTGTTCTTCGTGTCTTATTTTCCTACCCTCCACAGCTGAACTTCAAAATTCTCCCTCTGAGTTTCCACCGAAGGACTTTTTGAACGCCTGTATCTTTCTCCAGTAGCCACAGCCCGCCACTGGCTGTGCTTCATTTCCTGCAGAAGCTCAGCCACTTGGGTACTTATCGGGAGCAGCTGCTAGGCAATCTGGAGGGGAAGACAGCGATGCTTTGCTTAGGGGAGGGTTGCTTATGGAGGGAGAAAGCAGAGGCAATGGAGGCATTCCGAGGTCTTGGATTGAGGGTCTTCTGAGGAGTATCAGGGTGGAAAGAGGCATGATCAGAAGTCTCGCTCTCTGGTGCCTCCACCCCTTGGGGCTTCTAAGGTAAAAGCGCTTGTGATCTTCCCAGGTCTAGGGGCCCCAGAGTCAGTGAGAGTCACTGATGAGAAAGTAGAAACACTAGGTCACTGGAATCACCCTTGTGAAAGCCGCCCGCCTCAGGAAGAGATGAACCACTACCTGACAGCCTGGCCCATATTCGTACTCCTCAAATATATCCCTCTTCTCACACTGAGAATAACTCTTGGTTCCAGAGGTGAGATAAAAGCAAAGGAATTTAAAGCTGTCAAACAATCTATGTGGAAGTGCAGTATGAGAAACAGTACAGTTGTTTTCAAAAAACGATGTCCTGGGAGTTGGAAGACCTGCCTTCTGGGCCTGAAACCTTGGCCAAACCTTGACATAACCTTAGAAAAGGAAAGGAAAGCCATCTCTCCTGGTCTTTGTTTCTACATCCTGTTGAATTGGTGAAATGTTGTTGGCAGTGAAAGTTAAAAAAAAAAGAGAGACTTTTTAATGATCGCCATTCTAACTGGTGTGAGATGGTATCTCATTGTGGTTTTGATTTGCATTTCTCTGATGGCCAGTGATGATGAGCATTTTTTCATGTGTCTGATGGCTGTATGAATGTCTTCTTTTGAGAAATGTCTGTTCATATCCTTTGCCCACTTTTTGAAAAAGACAGGAAACAACAGGTGCTGGAGAGGATGTGGAGAAATAGGAACACTTTTACACTGTTGGTGGGATTGTAAGCTAGTTCAACCATTATGGAAAACAGTATGGCGATTCCTCAAGGATCTAGAACTAGATGTACCATATGACCCAGCCATGCCATTACTGGGTATATACCCAAAGGATTATAAATCATGCTGCTATAAAGACATATGTACACGTATGTTTATTGTGGCACTATTCACAATAGCAAAGACTTGGAATCAACCCAAATGTCCATCAGTGACAGACTGCATTAAGAAAATGTGGCACATATACACCATGGAATACTATGCAGCCATAAAAAAGGATGAGTTTGTGTCGTTTGTAGGAACATGGATGCAGCTGGAAACCATCATTCTCAGCAAACTATCGCAAGAACAGAAAACCAAACACCGCATGTTCTCACTCATAGGTGGGAACTGAACAATGAGATCGCTTGGACTCGGGAAGAGGAACATCACACACTGGGGTCTATCATGGGGAGGGATTGCATTGGGAGTTATACCTGATGTAAATGACGAGTTGATGGGTGCTGACGAGTTGATGGGTGCAGCACAGCAACATGGCACAAGTATACATATGTAACAAACCTGCACGTTATGCACATGTACCCTAGAACTTAAAGTATAATAATAATAAAAAATAAAAAATAATAAAAAAAAAAGAAAAAGAGAGAAGCCCCGGGTAATTAGTTGACTGTAAACTCAGTATCGATCTGTGACATGATGTAACTCTGATGAAGTTAAGGTGACATTAGGCTTCTTAAGGAGGGAGATGTCTGTTCTGTTTTGTTCTGCACTGATCAGATTGTCTGAAAAACAAAGACGAATTCTTAATTATACTTTTAGAGGATATATTCAGGGGAGAGAAACTGAGGCAGTAAATGAGAAAACTCAAAATCAGGGAAATATATTATTAGGAGCAAAAAAGACCAGAGGAAAAAAATTTGCTTCATTTTATTACAATAGCTGAGATATGGTTACAATGAGTGAATGCTTGTTTTGTGTTAAGTAGTGTCTTAGCAACTTTGAGTGTACCGTGTCATTTAATTCTCACACTGTATCTGAGGGAATCAATGTGTGTGCCTCTGTGTGTATGTATGTGTGTGTGCATATGTGTGTTACCCTGTAGTAAAACTGATGAAACTGAGGTTTAATGAATGACATTAATATTTCTGACATCACACAGAGAGTGAGGATACCTGGATTCAAGTCTATGTGATTCTGGCAAAAGACCTAGCCCCTAACTCATAACAGCCACAAAAGACGGCAAGAGTTTTTAAGTCTTTAAAGAGTGTCACAGGTGCTCTGTCTGTCTCTAGTAGCAGAACCAGGACTTACATCTGGAAGTAAGTCCTGTATGACTTATGTGTGAAGTCATACAAGACTTAAGTATGAAGTTGAAATTCACCTCAATTATGTACTTCTTAACAAATGAAGCTGCAAGACAACTGGATGAGTATCTCACTAGAGTGAGTGATTGGAGGCATTGAAACAGAGGCGAGGCAAATATTCATCTGGGATATCTTTATGGCCATCCGTGCATGACAGAAGGTGGACTAGATGAACTCCAAGGTCATTTCCAACCCTAAGGGTTTATGGCTCTTTGATAACCAAGTTCTAGCATGTTGTAACCGCCTGTGCTCCTAAGAGTTCACAACACATGCAGTATTTATGTGGATGATTAAGACGGGCTGCTATCAACATTCCTCAGAGAAACATAATAAACAAAACAAACCTTATAATTTATTTATTCCTTACATAGTTTCAGTCACTAAGTGCTTTACACACTTTAAACCTCATAACAACATCTCAGAAAGTCTATTTTTTAATCATTTTACAAAGGGGGCATCTGAGATGCATAGTAGTTATCTTGTTTTCTCAAGTTCACAAGGCTAATAGGTCGCAGAAGAGGAACTGGAACTCAGACCCGTCTATCTCCCAACGCTACTTCCTCACCATTCTGTTATACCACTTCCCTCTACATGGTAAAATTTCTCTTATTAATAAGAAATCTGAGGCTTAGATTAAAAAAAAAATTTCTATAGACTCAGTAATTTCCTAGTTGCCCTGTGCTCTCGCTATACCTGAACAGCATCATTTAATACTCTCAACAGTTCTCTTAAGTGAGTATTATTACTCTTGTTTTACAAATACAAAAATGAGAAGCAAAGAAACTGAGTACGTCATTTATCTTGGTGACACGCAATAATTGGCAGGACCAAAATACCTTTGCAAACCTGGATATCTTCACAACGAACTCACTTGACTCAGCTCAACAAGCAGATGTTTAATGCCAAGAACATGTTGGCTGCCTGTGATCCCTGCCATGGCTGCTACCTAATGGCAGCTGCCATTGTTAGTGACTGCATGTCCATGAGGGAGGTGGATGAGCAAATGTGTCACATCCAAAACAAGTACAGCAGCTACTTTGCTCATTGGATCCCCCACAATATGAAAAGAGCTGCCTGTGACATCCCACCCCTTGAGCTAAAAATGTCTGTTACTTTCACCAGTAACAACACAGCCATCCAGGAGCTGTTCAGGTGTATCTTGGAGCAGTTCACGGCCAAGTTCAGGTGCAAGGCCTTCCTGCACTAGTACTCAGGCAAGGGCATGCATGACATGGAGTTCACTGAGGCTGAGAGCAACATGAAGGACCTGGTGTCTGAGTATTAACAGTACCAAGACACCACACAGAGGAGGAGAGAGAGTTTGAGGAGTGGGCCGAGGAGAAGGTGGCTTAGACCCTTCTGTTACTGGGTGAAGGGTGAAAGTAGCATGTATTTTTTAATCACTCACAGTGTTTTCTATGATAGCCACACCTCACTGTGTGTGCACTTGCTGTGTGTTCACCTCTATTAAAACCTTTTCATAAAATAAAAAAACTCTCAGAGAAACATAATAAAATCTCATAAATTAAACAATAAAAATACATAAAATAAATAAATGTGGACTGGCCAAGTTCACAGTTAAAAAGCTAAATGATTTGCTTAGAGCCTTGGGAAATCACAACCAAGAATCTATTGTTTTAAAAACCTTAGTTAATTCTGTTTTTCACACACCAGCAATGCTCATCATAGAAAGTCAATAAGTGTGCTTGGCTCTGTTTATGATGACTAGAACTTCAAATCTCATTTTCTGATTCATTCATACTCCACAAACAAATGGAATGAGTGTTTTCTATGTGTGTTTCACGAGGTGCTAATACAAAGCAGTTTTGGACAAATCTGTCTCAAAGAAAGGAGAACCTGTGTCTGGACTCTGACATAAAACCAAAACAAAAAACGAGACTCAGGCCCAGAGGAGATCCCTTCCCAACAACATGGAAATAAATTGATAGCAAAAGATGACTTTCTTCTGCTGAGTTCAGATTTGGCTCCTGAACTCTGCAAAAGGAAATGAGGGACTGAATTTATTTCTGAAGCGCATTTGAAAAGGGAGCCATCTTTCCTCTCTGGCTGTTTTTCGTTTTTTCTTTTTTTTTTTTAAGTATCAAAAGAATCCTTAGACACGTAGGGAAGACGGGTCAACCAGTCAAACCCCCATGATTTCCTTCAGTCTTCTGCACATCTCATAAGTGAGAATTTTCTCTCAGAAACCACAACAGCATGCAAAGCAAGCTCAATAGTGCAATGAGTTGTCACTGCCAAAGAGTTAGCCTCATCCTCATAGACAAGACACCAGGACAATGTTTTCCTACCATAATGTTGTGAGGAAACCTGAGCACCCAGAAATCTAGGTAACTTTCATATTTCTAGCACATTGCTCCACAAAATGTGGATTTGTAACCTTGGTAGTTCCCAAATGTTTGTATGTAATACTTGTGATGATTGAAGGCATTCTTGAAATTGAAAAGGGCACTCAAAAATTGTAGATGGTACACAATTCCAGTGCTAAGGAAAAGTGAATCACATGATGGCAGAATTATTTTTATTTCAATTTTCTTCCAACTCTTTTAATTAAGTCAAGGAAAAAATCCTTCCAATTTTGGGATAAAATAGGTCTTCAACACCTAATTTAACACCCCTTTAAAAGAAAAAAATTGAGACAGATTCTCACTTCATCACTCATGCTGGAGTACAGTGGCACAGTCTTGGCTCATTACAGCTCCAACTTCCCAGGCTCAAGCGATCCTCCATCTTCAAACTGCTGAGTAGTTGGGACTACTCAGGGGGTGCACACCACCACACCTGGCTGATTTTTATTTTTATTTTGTATATATTGCTCTGTTGCCCAGGCTGGTCGCCAACTCCTGAACTCAAGCAATCCTGTCTGAGTCTCCTAAAGGGCTGGGATATTTTTGTTTGTTTTTCTTTAACAAAGAAGAAACAGACCTCATCTCAAGATCCTTGGGCCACTAAAATATCTAACTAGGATTCAATCAAATTTAAAGCTACAGTTGATCCTCATTATCTATGGATTCCGTATTTGTGAATTCATCTACTTGCTAAAATCTACTTGCAATTCCGAAATACTCACAAAGTTTCTGCAGTCATTCAAACATGTTCAAAGTAGTGAGAAAGTTTGAGTTATTCTACATGCTTGTTTTCAGCTTATGTTGAGTAACGTAACATTCTGTCTTCTTGTTTCAGATCCCACGCAAGTGTCCTTTTCATGGTCTATTTAGTGTTACGTTTTTGGATTTTGGTGGGTTTTATTGCTAGTGATTTTGTTATTGAAAATGGCTTCTAAACACAGTACTGAAGGGCTGTGTAGTGTTCCTAAGCACTGGAATGCTGAAATGTGCCTTACAGAGAAAAAACATATGTTAGATAAGCTTTGTTCAGGCATGAGTTATAATGCTGTTGACTGTGAGTTGAATGTTAAAGAATTGACAATATATATTAAATAACGCATCTTTAAACAGAAACGTACATGAAACACATGCATGTATTGATTGATTGATAACAACACGTGACTACAGGCTGGAAGGAACTTAATTTAACCCTGTGCTTTTCAGTTTATTTCCTCAAATGGACCTCACTATGTGAGAAGTAATTGGATGAAATAATTCATTATTCACTGATTCTATGTTTGCAGACACTTTATAAAACATAACTACTATGAATAATGACAGTCTAATTCTCTTTTAGGCAAGTGACTTAAAATTTTCTTTTTATGATGGTATTATTTAAATGAATGTATTTAAATTAAAAGCAAGTCAATTTAAATAAAAACACTTAAGTTAAAAAGAATGGTACAGGGTACAGGTTGTTTACTGTCATAGCAAAACTTGAAAGCAGTAAGGGAAAACCTGAAGTCTGTGGGTCACTAGTTTAGCCAAAGCTTTTTGAGTCATCTTGCCAGAAGATTTTACCAGTTATTGAGCCTTGGTGTCCTTATCTCTGAAATGATTATTATACCATCTCACATAGTGAGCTGCATTTGAGGAAATAAACTGAAAAGCACTTTTAAACCTACCTAAGAGCAGGCCATGGTGGCTCATGTCTGTAATCCCAGCACTTTGGGAGGCTGAGACGGGTGGATCACCTGAGGTCAGAAGTTCAAGACCAGCCTGGCCAACATGTTGAAACCCAGTCTATACTAAAAAGACAACAATTAGCCGGGCATGGTGGTGCATGCCTGTAGTCCCAGCTACTGAGGTGGTTGAGGCACGAGAATCGCTTGAACCCAGGAGGCCGAGGTTACACTGAGCCAAGATCATGCCGCTGCGCTCCAGCCTGGGTGACAGAGCAAGACTCATCTTAAAACAAAACAAAACACCTACCTAAGAACCTTATCAATAGGAATGAGGCATCACCACAATGACTGTTGTTTCCTCTTGTTGACAAATTGTGAGGATTACCAGCTAATCTGAGCTCCTATGCTACTGCAGTTCCATCTGTCAGAAGAAAAGAAAAGAAGAAAAAAAGCACAGCTGACATTCCCCCCCCCACCTCCATTACCCACTAATAATGAAAAAGTAATGATCTTTTTTCCCATGTTGGTGAATATTTTCCCTGTCAACTCTGATATGCTCATAATGCTGGCAGACAGATTATTTATGACCAGGGAAATTAAATATTATTTCATTTCTCCTAATACAATCTGTGGCGTCTCCCAGCTCCCAATTCCTTCCCATTAAGGTTATTGTCTTTTCTGCTCCAATTGGCTGCATGCTGTTGGGTTGTAACAGCACTGGCAGAATGCTTGGAGCATAATGGAGGTGGGAGAAATGGTGTAATTTGCAAGACTGCCTTCCCTGTCTCATCTAAATGAAGACATTTGGTCCCTGCGAGTCAAAACCCATTTTGACGAGTCTAGATGCATTTGGACTAATGGAAAAGGACAGCCAGAGTTGTAACGGACTTCCTGAACTGGGTTTTCTTACTTAGAATCACAGAATTTCGGAACTTGGCAGGTGATTCAAGTTCATCTGTTTTAAGTCTCTCATTTGCTTGGGGGAAACTGAGGAGCAGAGAAGGGCATTCATACAATGACACCTCTGGTGAAAGAGCACTTTTTCCTTTCCAACCTTTGTTCAATATTTTCATACTTTCAGTATGATTTAGATCCTCATCAGGAGCCCACGCCCTTCTCTAAGCACTGAATGATACGAGTACCTTTTATAAGGGCCAGAGGCAGGAATCTTTCCCAAACAGAGGTTTGTGCCTTCCTGCCTCTGTGCCTTTGTGATTTCTATTCTTTCAGGTAATATCAGCTAGAGTGTTCCTCAAGAGGTGAACTGGGGTATTTTGGGGACCTGCATGGTGGCTCAACTTCTTCCTCTACCCAAGCCTGTTTTCCTTCCTTCTTTTCATAGGTGTTATTTCTAATATCAAATCCAATCCCAGTCCCTGGTTCAGGAAAACTCAACCCGTGACATTGAGGAGGCGAAATGTAAGATAAGTTTCTTCCTCCCTTATTCTTAGATTTATTTCACACCTGCTATGTGCCAAAACTGATACAGATCTGGTGTGTAAAAATATAGTTCCTCCTAACTGAAAGCAACCAGCTGGATAGCAGAGACAATAAGAAGCAATCATGTTAAGCCACTGTTTAATGCAGACCATTGTTAAACCTCCTGACTAGACTACTGCAATATAGCCCTTGCTTGTATTTCACTTTCCATGTTGTTCCCATTTATTCATCAGCTGAAAACCCAAGTCTGATCATGTTACTTCTTGGCTTAAAGTCTTTTAGTGGGCCAAGCACTGTGGCTCACGCCTGCAATCCCAGCACTTTAGGAGGCTGAGGCGGGTGGATCACCTGAGGTCAGGAGTTCGTGACCAGCCTGGCCAACACAGTGAAACCCTGTCTCTACTAAAAAAAATACAAAAAAATTAGCCAGGCATGGTGGCATGCACCTGTAATCCCAGCTACTCAGGAGTCTGAGGCAGGAGAATCACTTGAACCCAGGAGGCAGAGGTTGCAGCGAGCTGAGATCACACCACTGCATTCCAGCCTGGGCAACAGAGCAAGACTCCATTTCAAAAAAAAAAAAAAAATCTCTTAGTGAAGGGTGATAACAGTTGAAATGAAGCCCCAGTTCCTTATTTAACTCTTGCCTATTTCCTCAGTATCATTTCTTTCAATGTATAATGCCTTTGTAACACTGACCTGTTTTTAGTCTCTCAAGCCCGCCCATGGGCTCTTCCCTATCTCAAAGTCTTAAAACTGTGAACTCCAAAAATCTGAGAAAGGCTTCAGTTAATTTAGAAGGTTTATTTTGCCAAGGTTGAGGATGCACACCCTTGACACTGCTTCAGGAGGTCCTGACGACATGTGTCCAAGGTAGTCAAAG